GAAATAGTGGCAATAATCATGACTATAAGAACAGTCTATATAACATAAGAAAAACAACCTCTTCATCTCACTTAAACACACACACAGACACACACACACACACACACAAAAAAAAAATTTTACTTAAATAATAAGATCTTTCTCCAAATAATTCAGAACTAGGTGATTTTACTATCTGTGTATATGACCTAAAAAACATGATTTTAAAGCAATGTTCTTAATTATTACTGTATTTCTGTCATCTATAGATTCATATATTTTACTGAGAAATGCAATTATGAAATATATTGATCTGTTCTCAATAATTCAGTAAACCCTTATATTTTTCCCAAAATTTTCTTGCAGTTAGTTTTTTGACACACAATAATTGAGTCTTCTGATTTCTAAAGGAAATCACTCTTCTTCTTTCTCACTGAGTAACTAAATAATAACAACATTAATTTAATGCTTCCATTTAATAAATATGACTATGCTGAGAGGCAGTATGCTAAGTGTTTTACATTCAATATCTCTTTTCACCATAACAACATCTTTATTTTAGAACAGCTGAAGCTCAGAGAAGTTAAGTATCTTCACTAATATGTCTCTAAAATAGACAGCAGCAGAAGCAGTAAGTTTAGGTCTTAAACAAGTCACACTACAACACATAAGTAAAAACACTGAGACAGACACTCAGATTAAAAGTGTACTGGGGGTTACCAAAAATAGAAGTTAAGGGCTTGACAACTCTCTGGTGATTCAGCACAATGTTGTCAGGGTGCCACCTGCCCTTTTCTTGAATCCATCATGCTACTATGAGGGTAAAATCGCTGCAGAACATAACTTGTGTTGCTGGTTTTAAACACTTGTTATTCCTTTGCTCATCCCCAAATGCCCAATAGCTAAATGTGACCCAGAAGGATTTGGATTCTTCACTGGAGTTAAATAATGTGATATCCTACAGATCTTGTTATTTATGATTCTTAAAGAAACAAAAAGGAAGTATGTTGAGCAATTTATAAATAGGAACAGGTTCCTTCCATTGTTTTATATTCACTAATAAGCTTTTTACGATAGTGCCATGTCACCATAAAATTCTAACCTCTTAGTTAACAGACAGTAGTATTTCATAATCAACTGGAAATAATGCTCACAGAACTTATTTTCAATAAGTTTAGATGCTTTGTCAACCTGACCAGTGATCAATGAAAAAACATTTGGAAATTACAACATTTCAACAGCTTCAGGGCTGTGCTATGAAGCAAATATATTAAAGTAAAAGCGACTTTACGATGCGTGACAGCAAGTCACCGAGAAGACCTGGTACAAGAAAGTAAAATTGAAGAGTATGGCTAATGGGCAAAATAACAAAACATTCAAATCAGACAGAAGCCAGCAGTACCCAGGTCACAAACCACTTAAAGCAAGTTTAGTTTACAATTTCATTCTATATTTTCTAATCAAACTTCAGCACACTACTGTCAATTAAATGACAACTCTTAAGTTGATATGATTATTTCATCTACTAAATAGTTAAGCTGAACTACAGCAGAACACAAAACCACATGTCGCTAGCTCCTTAAATAAAAACACATTGGATGTCATCTTAAAAAAAAAAAAAACAAAAAACCTTGGATGATACCAGTGACTGTCATAATTGCTACTGAGACTTAGTAGCAATTATGGGAAAACAATGTCACATATGTGTACAAGAAAACTATCACAGCTGTGTTGTATGTCAAAGTCAAAATGATAACAGATAGATGAAAGAGAAATACATAGATGTATGAAAGAATGATCTCACAGCTCTCCTGCATCAAGCAAACAGATCTTCATCATCCAGATCATCACCTTCCCAATAAATTGAGAGGCAGAAAACAGTGTGATGTACTGAACTGTTAAGATCATAGTATATGACCAATTAAAGGTACTGACCCTACTTAATTAACATCAAGAGATGATACCTTCTTTTATCACCTTTTTGTTCCTCACAGTTTCTCTGTCATTCTATAGAGTCCTGTGTAGTTGGTTTATCTCAGTTATTTTTTTAAACAAGATTCTATATGAAATAAAGACTAGAAAGTCAATAATTAATTCCTTGCATGAAAATTCTCAGTCCTTGGCAGCAACTTCCAGAAAATGGCAAACACTGGCTTCATTAACTAAAAATGTATCAGCTCTCCAATTCCCATTCCACAAAGACCATGGGAAACTTTGGTGAAAAGTATCAGGGGGTTAGGGAGTCTTGTGGGAATAAAGAGAGTCAAGTGAGATTAAAAACAATAGGCATGGACCACACTGTAATTTTAGCAATACATTCTGAAACAAAAAATAACATCCAAAATCTCTATGAACAGAGACTGTCTTCATGGTGACTGGCCGACTCTTTATCATGATTATTTTTCATTTACAAGAGTATATCAATATCCTGTTGGCAGAAATAACTTTCATGTTGTTTTTCTGATTCTAACTTGTAAGGAAGAGTTAGAAACATCTGGCTTCTAAGAAATGTGTAGCCACAGATAGTGCCACTTCACCTCATTTATTAAAGAACAGTGGCTCACACTGTTCAGGGCTAAAGTACATTGTAATCCTGACCTCCTAATATTTCTCCTTTCCTTTATCCTACTCAAGGACTCTTATCCACACCACTTTGATTCCTGCTGTGGAAATGGTTTACATTCTTAAGGGTATGCTCTCATGAGGGGGAAAAATGGTACTTAACCACTAACCATAATAGTGAAATGTCAGTAATGTGATACTGTTAGTACCCACACAGACTATTTCACATAAATTACAGTACAGATCCACTACCCTTCAGTAATGTGATTCCAGGGCTCTGGATTAATAAAGCCACCACAGAGGAAATTTAGCAGTCACATGTTTGGATGGACATGTGCAAGTGATAATAACATGCATGATTTAGTGAGTATTTACTACTGCCAAGCACCATGCAAGGCACATTACTTGTGTTATGTCTTAATTCTCACAACTACCCTGAGAGGTAGGTGTTATCATCTGCCTATCACAGTGGGAAAGTATGGCTCAGGGAGGTTAAGGAATCCTACCAAGATCATATACTTCACCACACTGCCTTGTCTACCTGGAAGCCTTCTGGTGGTTCTGCAGAGTTGGATTCTATCCATTTTATTACCACAGGTTTAAGATCTTAAACAAGGTATTTACATCTCTGAAGGTCAATTTCCCAATCTACAGAATGAGAAGCAAACTGAGTAACTTCAAAGGGTTGTGGTGAGAATGAATGAATACAGGTAATGCACACAGTACGACATCTCTACCTAGAATGAGAGCAATAAATATCAACTAAGGAGAGCAGATGACAATCGCTACATTTTTATACTTTCCTGGAAATTTTTACATTCTTAAAAATTCTCAGATTTGTTATTTTAATACTTGTCTCTATTTAAAATATTCAAATATTATCTCTAAGGACACTGTGCACTGAGATTTTCAGAGTTCTGTTGTTGTTTTTTCCCCCCTGACAGGAAAGAAGAGTAAGAGATACTGAAACAATTGCCTTTATCTTCTAGTTACCTGTCTTCTCTATTATCTTGTTTCTCAACTTTTCTCAGTACTGTTATGTTCTGTAGACACCTATTTACCCATACTCTTAGCAACCTAAACTATGTATTCTCTAAGATTAAAAAAAAAAAATGATTAAAACTCTACCACCAACTTCTGACTTCAAGTACAAAACAGCCCAGAAGTAAATCCTACTCACATTTGTCATGTGGGTAATGTGGAGTAAATGATTTATGACAGTTTTGCCTTGTTATAATGACCCATCAAATTTATATTCTCCATCCACCATCCAAATGGGCAAATTAATTTTATAGTTGACTTATAATATGGCAAAACTTTTTTCTCCTAAGAATTATAAAAATAAAAATAATGGCAGATCATCCTTAGCACACTTTTCTTCAAGAGTTGTTTCCCAGAGTCACGGATTCATTTCATCCTACTATGTGCCAAGCACTGTTCCAGGCCCTTGATATAAAGAGAGCAAATGCAGACCAGTGTATGCTTATAATGAATGTGGCGATAGTCTGGTGGAAGACACAGAAATGCATTAAATTTATCAAGTGATCACTACATCTATAAGGCAAAGGACGGTAGCCAGTGTTATACATGCTCCCAAAGGAGGACTTGGTTTCATTAGGAAGATCTAGTGAACTTTCTCTACAACACGTGAGCTGAGGAATAATTTGGAACCACTAAGGTAAAAAGAAGCAAGAAGAACATTCTAGATGGAAGAGGAGGTAGGTAGAAAAAAGTCAGTTTGACAACAGCATAAAGACTCAGGAGAATGTCTACAGCTGGAGAGGCAGACACAGCCACCACAGACCCCTGTAGTCTTGCAACGAGGTGACAGTCAGGTACTAATGACAAGTTTCTCTTTATTCTAAGAGGAACAGGAAGGAATTGAAGGATGATGATGTGATCCAATCCAAGTTCTGAGTGCAGTGGAATAAGTTAGAGTCATTCATAGTGGAAGGAGTTAAGAGGCTGCTGCAGAAGTACAGGTAAATGGCAGTCCAGACTATGGCAGTCTAAGCTGGACCAATGATGATAAAATCAAGTATTTAGAAGGTTCAAATTGGCAGGATGAGGTATCAGTACCGTACTAGGGAAATGAATGAATTAATTCTTGTACTTCTTGCAACTAACTCCTGAGAAAGATTCTCTTCCAAATTTTACAGACAAAAATACTGAAGAAGGCAGATAATTGTCTCAAGTCCAGGTGGTATGCAACAAAACCAGAACCCAAAGCCATGGTTCTTTGACTTCAAAGGCAATTTACAAAATTATTGTGTGAAAAAAAGAATAGTTTCTTAAAAAAGGGTTTCCATAGTAAAGTTGCAAAACCTAGAAGCTTCTGATATATTTCATCAAATCACCCAGAAATGTGTCCTGATGAGAAACATGGCTTTAGATTTCCACTTAATAAAACAGACATTCTTTAACGTTCACACTCATAGCAGACGCTGAGTGAACCTTACCTATTTCAACATATCGACTTGGCAAATCCCTCATTTCACTGGCATGCCGTTCCTTCACTGAGCATATCTGGGGAGAGGGGGAAAAAAACAACCTCACTATGAATTCTATTCATTTGATGGAAAATTCTTCACAATATTTTATTCAATATATACTTGTGTTAAATTAACCATGTATCCCTGAAGATGAAGCGCAATCTATCTTATGACTTAAATAAGAAAAATTAATTTGAATGACATATAGCAACCATTACTTATATTCTCCAACATTATTCTTTAATAAAGTCTGATTCAAGGGCAAAGAAAGAGAGAAAACTTTAAGATAGTTTTTTTCCCCTTTATTTTATTTATTTATATGTGGTGCTGAGACTCAAACCCAGTGCCTCACACACACTAGGCAAGCACTCTATCTCTGAGCTACAATCCTAGCCCTTTAAAATAGTTCTAATATTTTTCTAATGATGCATCCTCTGAAAGTCTACTTAAAAACTACAGTCATGTACTACATAATGACATTTTGGTCTAAAGCAATACATATACCATGGTGGTCCCATAATATTATATTGCCTAGTGGTATTATGGCCATCCTAGCCTGTTCAGTACTCTATTATGTTCACACAATGATGAAACTGCCTGTGATGCATCTCTCAGAATGCATCCCTGTTGCTAAGTGGCCTATGACCATACCAAATAAAGTCATGTCAGGAGTAAAATGCTCCATGGCTAATCTGACCAATATTCACATTATATCTTGTATTTCTGATAACATTTGTAACTCACTTCACTGTTGTTAAATAATACTTGGCAAAAGTGGCACATACTCTTCTTATCTCAAGTACATTATAATCAGTTACTACATAATCTATTTCAGGGATTGGTAATCATGCCCAAGTCCCAAGCCTGTTTTGTTATGGCCTGTAAGATAGGTTTTCACAGTTTATAAAGGGAGCAACAAAGATGGGGAAGGAGATGTTGGGGAGAAAGGGAAGGAAAAAAGAAAGGAAGGAGCAGCAGCAACAGTGTGGCATGAAATCTCAACTTTTACTACCAGGTATTTATAGAAAGTTTGCCAAAATTCATATTAAATCATATCTATATAGTTTATATGTATGTGTGTGTGTTTGTGGGTAAACAAAATCTCATATATGTGTAAAATTACAGTATATCTCAATCTTTATCTCTCTCGAATACAACAGATAACACATATGAATATTGATGATATCTGTTTTAGGTTGATAAGACTATGGACCTTTTATACTTGTTTTGCTTTCTGAAGTGAATATATTCAAATTTATAATAAGAAACAAGAAAAATTTATATAAGTTCTGCCATTCAGTTAAGACTGAACCTGAAGTCAAGTACTAATCCTAAATCTTTCAGATAGTGATCTTTTATAGCTGCTCCCCTAAAGTAGAGCTACACTAAGGAATATTCTAAATTAGAGAAAAACTCAAAGAGGAAAACAAGCATTATTTCTTATCCCAGCCCCCAAATATCATCATTAACAAACTTATTTTTTAGGGAAGCTACTTTTACTAACTTAGCCATTTACTACAAATAATTTAATGTATTATTTAAGTATTCTTCCACAACACAATTCTTTAATGTGATTTATAGCATTTTATTTTAAGAATGTACTATAATTTATGTGGTCGATCTCCTTTTTGGCCATTAGATTTTATATCTATCGTTATAAGCAAAAGTGCAATCAACATACTTGAACATATATGTTTCCTTAGGAAATAAATTCCTAGATGCTGAACCAACAGATTAATGAGTACACACACTTTAGGTTTTTTTTTTTTCTGTTTAGTTTAATAAACATGTCTAAATTGCTATCCAGAAATACTGCAGCAACTCTGTACCTACAAAAACTCACTTTCCCTCATATACGACAAAAACCTATGGCTTTGGAAGTCTAAGCCCCCATTTAGGAATCATTGGCTCTCTTTTCCCTTGAATGCTTTTTGACACCTGTCTTCTGTCCATTTCCTATAATTTTCTGACAACTTCCCCAATTTTCCCCAATTCCTTCTCTTTTTGGTAGACTTCTGAGCTTTTTTCCACACTCACTAAGAAAACTACTAAAAGATCTAACAGGCACACTCCACAATGCCAAATAACTATTTTAATGTGCTGAAAAAAGTACATACGGAAGTGTCTCAGATGGTTCACAATAATAAGGCAAATATAATAGTAATATTAGTACTTTTTGAGCAACGACTAGGCACCAGTGCTAAATTAGGGTTATTTTCTTGAGATTACCGAGCAGTGGTGAAGACACAGAAGTAAGGTAATTTTGCCAAAGTATGATGGGAAAGCAGAAGCATGCATTGGCAGGGCAGGAACACTTCCTGGAATTTGTGACATGGAGGTGAAGCAGGAAAGATAGGACAAATTTACAAAACAATGTCATAACCTGGAGCCATCAGCTAGGAAATCAATCAGACAGGACAAGCAAAGGGAGAGTTGAGGCTGGAGAGAAATACAGAGCTTGGATCATACAAAAACTTGGAAACCATGTTAAAGGTCAGTCAGAAGAGAGTGAAATTATCTGCTCTGTATTCTGGACAGATTATTCTACCTGCACCGTTTAACACAGAATTAAGGGAAGGTATAAAATCAAAGCCATGAGGACTTCCTAGAAAGATGAGAAGTGGAAAGATTTGAGGGATGTTGACCAAACCCAGGAAGTCAATGGGGAAAAGCAACATTACCATGTCTAGAGACAAGAACCCTGACACTATGAGGGTGATCCAAGACCATCTGGCTACGGTTGGAACTAACAGGAAGGCCTGAATGTATCCCTCTGGCCATGCCACAATCTCTCTGCAGACAGGATATATGACACAATTGGTGGGTGGGCCATTGCTCTACTCCCATCTCTTATCAGTTCTGTAGTATGAGATTTTATTCCAGCACCTATTTCATAGGTAGAAAGCAGCAAGTATTGGGGTTCTGTAGGTAAATGCTACCCTAAGGGCTGGGGCTGTAGTTCAGTGGCAGAGTGCTTGCCTAGCATGTGTGAAGCACTGGTTTAATCCTCAGCACCATCTAAAAAATATATTAATGAAAAAAAATATTATGTTCCCTTCTACAACTAAAAAAATTTATATAAAAAAATTCTACCCTAAGTTCATGCCCTACATAGAGAAGATCAATAATTTTAAGAGTACTCTGCATTGATAGGTGGACTCTCACCCAGGAATACTAATCTTTATCCAACCGTCTCCTCCACTTCTCTGCATGAGTGGGTAACAGGCATCTCAAAGTGCTCATTCCAAAAAACTTCTGCCTTTTTCCATTGAAACATGCCTGATCAGCAGTATTTTTCATCTCGGTAAAGGTTAGAAACTTCATCTTTTATTTTCTTAGGTGACCACTAACTTTTTTCTCTTTAAATTATACCCCATATCTAATTATTAACAAATACTATAGGGTCTACTCTCAAAATATGTCCAAAAGCCCATCTTTCTCACTAGCTCCATTATGTTGATCTGAGAAAACATTTTTCTGAGTGATGCTGCAGTAGCCTCCTGCCTAGTCTCTCTCTTTCAGTGTCCCTCTGCTTTTAGCTCTACACGGCAACTAGTGGTCCTTCTAAAATACAAGTAAGGTCATTTAACTAATATCATTGCTCAAAACTCTGTACTGGCTTCCCTCCTCACTCAAAACTCTGTACTGGCTTCCCTCCTCACTCAAAGTCCAAAGACTTCCCAAGGCCCATGAACTACAACATGATCTGCTCCTCCACCTTCAATCCCCACATATTTCTCTCTACTATCTTCATCCTCTACCCTCTCCTCCACACCTGCTCTACTCTGACAACAATTTTCCTGCTGTGCCTCAAAACAGCCCAATCATTCCCTTACCTCAAGGATTTCCCCACCTCCAACCCAGTACCCCCACAGGGCTACCCCTTCCCAGATCTCTCACCAAATGACATGTTAGTTATTAGAGAGGCCACCATGGGACCACCTAAATTACAGAGTACCTACCCCCATCCCTTCATCATTACCCTTTTTAAATGCTCTTGTGGTAATTTACTATCAACAACATGCTTGTTTAATTTTGCTCATCTACTCTCATTAGAGCATAAATTTTACAAGGGAAGAAATTTATTCATTTGTCTTTCATGTTTCTGCAACATTAGAACATCGCTTGGAATATTTCAGGCACTTGGTAAATGTTCAATGGGAAAATCTTACTATTTATTTATATAGTGGTGCTGGGGATAAAACCCTGGTACACACCAGGCAAATGTTAATTGTTCTCTGAAGAAAGACCAAGTCTTCACCTTCTCTTCTTTCAGAACTCACCTAGATTCTGAACAGCTGAATGAGTCCAAAGAAAAAGAATCTCCAAGAAATTAAAGTATTGGATGTAAATTTTATGGATCTTAATTTAGGCACAGTGAAAATGTATTTCTTTCCTATGATTGCTAGAGACCCGGTGGTTTGAAACAACAGAAATATATTCTTTTATACTTCTGTAGGCTAGATATCTGAAATCAGCTTCACTGGGCTGAAATCAGGTGCAGGGAAACATTTCCTCAGAAAGCTCCAGGGGAGAAATTGCTCTTGGCCTCCTCCAAGTCCTGCTGGCTTCGGTGTCCTTATCACCACTCTACTTCTACCTCTGTGGAAGCACTGCCCTGCCTCATCAACAGTAGTTTCTCCCTCCCACTGAAACACACACGATTGCATTTAGGGTCTAAATACATAATTCAGGGTAATCTCCCAATTTCATGATCCTTAAGTGAAGTGCATCTTTTGCCATGTAAACAAACATTTACAGGTTTCAGGGATTAGGACCTCTCTCTTTGGGGGCCACTATTCAGCCTAACAGAGAAAGCATTTACAGAAACAATCAGTGAACTTGTAACATGGCCCTGTAGGCTAAATTTCCTGGTCTTTCCTTTTAAGAAAATTACAACTATAAAACAAAGGAAAAAGTCATACTGTCCATTTAAGGAATGGTTAAAATACCAGGAGTATGTTTACTGGACTGGGAACTACACATGTGGGATAGGGAGAGAGAACCACAATTTTTGTTTGTTTGTTTGTTTGTTTTTAAATCTTAGGTTACTAGGCAGTTTCTTTCCTGCTATTCTGAATATGAACCAGTTTGTGTTTACAAAACACATTAAAACAATTACTTGATGTTCAATCTAAAAAGAAGAAAAAGAAAACCTGAATCCTATCAATGTAAGGGCCAGGAGGACCTTATCTCAAGTATAACAGTGCCGAGTTTGGTAATAATAATAATAATTGCGTTAGTAATTTTTATGCTTTACATTTCCAGAGGAAAATAAATTTTAAATAGCTATGTCTCTTTCATGACTCCTCTAGAATTTTATGGACTAACAATAATAGCAGCTAAGAAACTGCAGTAAGTCAGTTTCTATGCCAAGCTCTTTACAGTTATTACTTCATTTTTTTCTCCTAAAATTTGTAAATTGGAAATTATTTTTCTGCCATTTTGCAGAAAATGGCAGGCTTAGAGACATACAGAAGAAAGCAGATGGAAAAGATGGAATTAATCTCAATGTCTCTCTGACTCCAAAGACTGAGCTCGTCCATTAGATTAGTGTTGGGATACTCCCTCATAGCATTTTTAGCTAATTTTTAGTTATTTTGATTAAATTATTTAATATATTTTCAAAAGGAAACAATTTTTGGCTTTGAAGTATCTACTGTAACATAATCACTACTAGGCATGAAATAAATGTGAATTCGTTTGAGCTCCATTTTGTAGAACAACTAAATTACATTTACTGAGCCCTCATAGGATCAGATCATTATACACTAGAAAATATTCCCAAATCTTATTACTGATAATAAGTATAGGCTTCTACTCCACAAAATTATTAGCAAGTAAGTTGGAAGATGTAGTTTTAACCTTCTCTTTCCACCACCAACACAAATGAAGATGCCAATCAAGTGGTCTATAAACAGCTATAGCCAACAGGGTTGTGGGAAATTTTTAAAAAAGATAAAATAAGGCAGCACCAGCCTGAGAAAGGAAAAGTTTACAAACTGTTTTGCATGGTAGTGAAAAGAAAGGATAGCTCATAAAATCTATACACGTGAAATAAGTTCAGTCTTAAATTGTTAACACATCACAATAACATTCAGGCAAAAATATTTGTGTTTCAGGAGGCAATTTATGAACTCATATTCCTTTAGACCACCTCAATGGATCTGTAACATTATAGACTTATTATAAGGACAAGCAAAATCACCTTAACAGAAGTCCCCCAGCCAATAATCAGTGTCACATTGTCCTTCCAGCAGAGGCTGCAGGGATACATATCTGGGCGAAGACTTATATCATCCCGGGGCACATTGGTGATTCTTTGTTTTGAGGTAATGTCAAAAATCTTCACACCCTAGAAAAGGAAATGGCATTAGGAATTCTCTACTTGGGAGAAGGAAAATCTATGAACAGGCCCAGCTGCATACGACCAATAACCAGTGCTGCAAAGTATTGGCAGAGTTTGCAGAGCAAAGTTAGAAGCCATGTAAAGAAAATGTTCCCGGGGGTAGGAAAGACAGTGGAACAAGATGGACATCATTATCTCAAGTACATGTATGAAGACAAAAATGGTGTGACTCTGCTCTATGTACAACCAGAGACATGAAAAATTGTGCTTTTATATGTACTATAAATTGAAATGTATTCTGCTATCATGTATAACAAATTAGAATAAAATAAATAAATTAAAACACACACACCCACATAAAAAGAAAAGAAAATGTTCCTTCTCCACACAAATCCTATAAAAATACCTTCATCCTTCTTATTGGGCAAAGGAATTTTGTTTTACTAGTGGGTGGCATGGGTGATTCTAACCTAAAATAATGGGGAAATGTTTAGATACCAACAACTACATTTTCAAAATGACAGACAAGTAACATTTCTAAGTGTATTATTCCAATAAAAAATGAGGTTTGGTTTTTGGAAAGATTTTAATTCTGAAAAACCATCTATATAAAGAAAACTACACTTGACATTTCAAAGTTCTCAAACGCAAACCTCAGTAAGCAGCTCACTACAAGTGAGCCAAGAGAACATAGGTTTGCTTCCCTTTCTTGTGACCCAAAAGAAAAAAAATCCTGAGTAACAAGGTGGATTCTGAGGAGATTTCTACCATTAAGCAGAATGGAACTGACTACTCATAGATAACTTAAAATTTCAAAAGACATGCCAGATGAGAAAAAGTCTACTCTTAAAACTTTGTACTGGACCCAATTCATATCAAGTAAATTTTGCAGCACCAAATATTATGATCCTTTCTTAAAAGCAGCCCTAGATTTTTGCCTATGATTATATTGGGAGTAAAATAGAAATCAGCAATATTCTGCTCTTGTTTCATATCAAGTGTTTCTTGCCCTCGGCCAATAGGCAAATAGTATTTTCAAGACCACATTCCCAATGCAACCCTTCAATTATTAAGATGGCTTTTCATTTTCTTGGTTACTCTTCATGCCTCAGGTTTCTTATCCTAAAATAGAGTCCAGAATATGTTGGGAATTACTATATTATAAAAGCCAAAAGCAATCTAATTTCTTTAACTTCCCAGGTAAGATACCACTTACCATTTGTTATCTTTTACAAATGATCACTGGAGCAAGTGGCATCTCCCTTTGACACAGTCCTATGGATTTGGCCACTCTTCTGCCACCAAACAAGGAAGATGCTTAGGAAGGTAGAGACTGTGCTTACCATATTATTGGCCCAAGCGATCAGATGGCCTCTCCATTTCACACTCCGTATGTTCCCTTCCCCTTCATGCAGAACCGAAGACTTCCATCTGTTCATCCAGGACCGTTCAAAGAGCAGCAACTAGGGCACACAGCATAAACACAGACTTTCAGAAATGGAGAATAATATGAGACCTTACTTACCATTCTTGTCCATAATGTTACCAAATAACCAACACTCTATGGATTTATTTTTAATTTTTATTTTTATGTACTTACAGTAGACGATTTCCATTTTGGAAAGCATTTCCCACACATCTTACACTGTCTGGGACATTGTTTGAAAACAGATTTAGTGTTCCTGTGACTACAGAGCCAAACCACAAGATGGCACCAAAATATCAAGGTTCATGGAAAATAATGCACATCTAATCAAAAGATTTGTATCCCTGAAAGTTCTTCAAGTAATGGCTAAAGAACTAATTTATTTTGTAAATTAGGAAATCAAAATCTCACAGTTTTTCACTGAAAATAAGATTGTCACAAATTAAACTGTAGAAATTAGGGGCAGTCTTATGTATTTCCCAAGATAAATAATTTGACAATTACTTTTAAGCAGTAATTCATGTTATGAAATAAGGGAAATTTGCTTTAGGATTAAGCTTCTTTAAAAAGTACAGTAGCAAGAGCCTTTATTTTAAAGGGGAAAAAAAATCTGTAACTGAAAAAAGAATCTGCGGAAAAATTTTAGTACAACATACAACTCGTCAAAAACTTCTACTACTGAATATACAGTTTTAGTAATCATGCATTATATTAAGGACATAAAAAATATTTTTCTTGATATATCCAATTTAAATTCTTTAAGATAATTATACAATATACTCAATGCATGTAATCCTGAAATACATGTAGATCCCTTAAAAGTTGATAACAGATTCCAAAAGTTTTTAGAATTCCTACTATTAGAGGCAATTTCAGTTCACCTCAGTGTATTCTGAATCCTTCCTCACTCCACAACAGCACAGGTGGACACAATAAGTCAAAGAATAAATTCACATTCTATTTGTATTTGTATTTGTATATCTTTCTCAATAGTTAGGTTCCTATAGACATAAGAGGCACAAAAGAAATTTTGCTTTTAATTAGAGGCCCTCTTTATAAGCTGAGTACAGCCACTTTAACATGCTATAAACACCTGAAGTTCTCTATTATCCATGGAAAAGCAAGGTGGCTTCACAACTTCCACAGTGATAATGGGAAGCAGCGATTTTACTGAAGCTCTTCAGTCCTCCTTCCCATGAGATATATCCTATACATTTTCAAAGATCCTCTAACCCATCTCAACCTCACCCTTCTCAAGTTCTAATTAAAAAATCATAGCTACAGGGTTGAGGGTATAGTACAGTGGAAGAGTACTTGCCTAGCATAGCAATGGGTTCAATCCCCAGTACTGGGGGAAAAAATCATCACTACTGAATATACAGTTTTAGTAATTCACTAAAATACCACCATCACTAAAATACCACCCTGTGACCTAGTTAAGAACCTAGTTAAGAGACCCCTTAACTGGGTATGTCATCTGTCTGTGATTCAACTTCTTCTTGTGCCATGATGCAGAGAAAGAGTCAGAAAGTCCACTACATCCAACCAATGCAGAAGGATGATGAATGGTTTAGTATTTTGTCAGAAGATAGGTTTGAAATTCAAGAAATGAGGGAAAAGGCTAAGGATAAAGTTCTACAGCACAGATAGCATGGAGGTAATTATAAGAAAGGGGTGGACACAACCAGCAGTCACTAATCATCTGTTAAAAGAAAGGGTCAGCCGAATGACCAGGAGAAAAACCTGGCAGAGCCCAATATCAAATTCCTCTCCCTTACCAATCCTCACCTAAATGATTAACACAGTGTTAAGAGAAGAAGTGATTACAGCTGTATTTGGGAAAATTAAATACACACCAAATTTTAAAAAACATCTGAAAAATATGCTAAAAATAATATCTCAGTGAAGGCCATGATTTAACTTGTTTCCAGAAAAAGCCTAAGTAGTAGTCAGTCAGTTAGATATTGGGATGCCTAAATGTCCCCAACCCTCTCTTTGGCCCCTTCTCAGGGTAAGGGGGAATGTGGAGGTAGAATAGTCACTGAGCAAATCTCTGTTAAAGCATGCCACCCACTAGCACTCCAGCACTCCAGGGTCACTTGGGGAGCACAGCTGGGGAAAAAAAAAAAAAAAAAAGAAGGCATGCTAGCACAAGAAGGGCATCAATGGAAAGATTCAGTATTTGACAATAATGGGAATTATCCAGAGAATAAAACAAATCTCCCATTCCTGACTCCACAGCAACAAGACATCACAAAAAAACAGAAAAGGACTAAAAAATTGGTTCTCATTATTATTCTCAGATAACAACAAAATTAAATAATAATCAAAGTATTCTGAGTATAAGAACACACATATAAACCTAAATGTCAGGGGATGTAATCAAAATTTGTAAACAGCAAAAAGTTTATAGATCTGAAAATTAATAATGAACTGAAGTTCTCTATTATCCATGGAAAAGCAAGGTGGCTTCACAACTTCCACACGTGCATGCACTGGCCTCATGAAACAAAACAAAAACCCTTCATAAGCTATGTAAACAGAGAACTAAATAAATGGGGAAAAATACCATTATGTTTCTGGATAATAATGCCCAAGATTCTCACTGAAAAGCTTAAGTCTCATTAAGTTAACTTCTCATTTTAATGTAAGTTTCCCAAAAATTTCAAAGGAATTATTTCTTGAAATTCTGAAAGTGCTAAAAATACATTTGAAAAAAATATATATATATGAGAACAACAGGAGATTTTTTTAAAAAATTAAGCAATTTGGTGGTAGGGGTGAATTTGCTGACAGATAATGAGATGTTTTATAAAATTAATATCCAAAAAGTACAATCAACCCTCCCCACCCCACGCCAAAAAAAAAGTACCACATTGATTGTAGAATTGACAAATGAAGGAAAAAGAAAAGAAAGAAATAACAAAGACGAATCGAAGTGACACAGTTAGGCAGGGAGTGGGCATGAGGTGTGTGTAGGGGAAGAGAAACTACTGAGCACTTCTTCCTGGAGGATCTTTTGGCATTATGGACACAAAACTTTAAAAATGACCACATCTTGGAATTTATGCTAAGAAATTATTAGAGTGAGTAAAAAAGCTACCTATAAAGACTAGAAATGCACTGACAACTGGGTAGTGATTGAATACAAGTGGTAAAGCTGAACAACTGAGAAGAAAGCATCCATTCTTAATTATTTCATGTGTGTATATCCACTAACTTACAAAACATCAGGGCATATTAAATAGACAGGCAGATTCCAAAAAGGTATTGCCTATGATGTTCCTTAAGCAAAATATGAATATGTATCCATATGTAGATTAATATGATAAAATATGGAAGATACATTACACAAAGTCATAACTCCTAGCAATGAGTAACAGGAAATTTTCACTATTTCTATTTTATAATTATTCTTCACTGAACATGTGAATTATTTTTACAATGTTAATACATTAATGAGAATGAGAATCCATTCTTTTATTTTACAATCAGGTTAATAGAGGGAAATAATTAAAATGAAAATAATATTAGAAATTCAATGGAACTTAAGAAAGAAGGAATATTCGAGGCATACTGAACATGTATAGAATTAACCTACACAAACTATACCGACTTTGAAAAACTGTCCATAAAGTCTTCAAAACAAACAATTCCAGACAAAATCCAAACTTCCTCTAATGAGTCAGTTCTGCTGTACTTGGAGTGCTTGTGGTATAGGAAGAGGCTGAGGCTGTCAGGGCCCTGGCTTCCCTTTGTGTCCACCAGAGCTCCAAGGAATACTTCCAGCAGAGGGCAGGAAGAAAACAAGGACAGAATTCTGAAATCAGTCCATTTCAGGGTCAGTTCCAACAACCTTGTGGACCCTGCTCTAATACAGAAGCAAACAAGCTTCTCCTTTAAGGATAGTTTATAGTACAAACAGGCAAATGCCATTCTATATAACTGACAGATGTCTAGAAAAAAGGTATAATATACCAACTTCTGTGAATGGGTCAAATTTTAACTAACATTACAGTTTAAACATCATTCATATTATTTTCTGATGTCTTTTGAATGGTAATATTTTTCAAGACTTTATCTTCATTTTTAATGGATGAAAAATAAATTATTTGTAAAAAAAAGCTTAATATGTTAGAGTATGTCATCATTTAGAATTCTTTTGGTTTTCAAATAATTTTCCAATTTCTTGGTTCTTTATGTTTTATGGTCATGCTGGTTTTATTATAGCACAGTGAGTATCATGTTACTACCTTTTCACTGAGGTTGGTGAGCCATTCCTATTTCTTTGTCTTTCCCCAACAAACTGTAAACGCATTGGAAAAAGAAACTATATATTTTTCTAGATACATAATAAATTTTAGATGCTAATTGGGCTTTCCTGTGTCTACTCATCTTAATCTTGATCTATACATACAATGTGTTCACTCTAGGAGAATCTATGTAATTATCCCAAACACTTCAGTTAGTTACCTAGTCCATCTTTAGTTAGTAAATGTCCCCAAACTATTTTGAACATACTGGAATCTACCCTAATCTCAAAAATTTAAAGGAAAGAACCTGGGAATGATTCACATAACTAACACATCTTTGCTTTCAGAAAGGGTTTTCTTATAATGATCCTACATCCAACTCCTCTAATGTCAGTCTATATACCCTTTGTTCAAGGTCACAGGCACAACTGTGGTACAACTTGTCAAGAAACTGAAAACTGCTTTTAAGGTCAATCTTCTCCTATTCGTTTTAAGTAATTAGTAGCTCTATTCCAGGGACACAATCAGGCCAGAGACTTGGTGTGGACAGTAATGATGTGCCTGACTGCAGAAGGTTCTCTGGATTGTCACCATAATTATTTCTTCTGCCTCTATGGCACCTAACCTGCTTCTCTCCTCTACATCACCTGCCGGCCTCCTAGAGCATTGATTTCTACCCTTCCTCTCCACCCTACTTTTTATTATTTACTCACAAGCCCAATTTTCCAATCTTTACATAGGATTATAGACTAATAATTATGGAATCATTCCATTGGCATTTTCA